CAATAAAGTGTTTTTAAGCTGAAAAAAATTGGAAACTAAACATAAGCAATTAATTACAAGGGAATCAACAAGAATTAGTTCAACAGAGGATCTTTGAGCAATTCATCACTTAGTTCAACATGGGATCTTTGAAAAGGGAAACCATTTCAACAGTGATTACCACAACAATGAACCCAATGTCCAGTAAATCAGCTGTCAATTAAAGGAACACTGTTACCTCAATTATCTTTTAATAGCCTCATTTCCTAAAAATTCTAATTTCTGATATTTCTTACAAAGTGCTTATGCTGATTCATTGCAAAAGGAAAAACACTTAAAAGAAATTGTGAAACTGAAAATATATGAAATATTTTCAAATAAATAAAGCCAATAAAAAACAAAGGAAAACTGTTTTTTTTTCAGTTGTAACAGTCTAAAGGCTGATCTCATAGATAATATTTCCAATAAATATAACTTTTTATTCTGATAGCCTCTCTTTAAATAATTAATCATTAAGAAAATGGGGAGATGAAAGCATTCTATGTATATGATTGTAAGCACTTTGCGAACATTATTTGATGTTAAAAATAACTCAGCAATCTTTCCTGGTATCATAACTCAATCTGTTGTCAATATTAGTTGTGCAAGAAAAATACAAGGATCCTAACAGAATCATACTTTTTTTGATTACGTTTGACAATCAGAGGATGAAAGACTTCCCAAGACAGAAGTTATATTTGGATTATCATATTATCTAGTCACTAATTTACCTGAACTCCATAAAGTAAGCTGAGCTTGTTCAAAGGGAAAGCAGAGAGCTACACATCCTGATTTCAGGCAAAGTGATGAATTAATTATGTAATGCTAGTGGGAATGCTAGCGGGAATGCTAGTAGTCTTTTCTATGCCATTTCATATGTTTGACACTAGAAGGACGGACATGCCATTGGACCTCCTAAATCTGGAAGAAGGGATGCTTCGGCTGTGGAAATGAGGAACATCTTCCAGTGGTGTTAGGAAGATTTTAAAGCATTTTTTAATGCAGAAGAGTGCATAATAGATCAAATCTTCAATGTAACATTCTGATGTAGTATTACATCATCATTATTTATATGACTTAAATTTGACTGCAATATCTTTAATTCTGCTGAATAGCACATTGTGCTACGAAGCCACTGGGGTAAGGTATGACTAAGTATGTATAACAGCTATCATGATCTATCTTAGGAAATAAATATTTCATATTCTTTCATCTATTTGAACAGAAAAAAAATCACCTGTTGTTGTGGATTTGTAAGCTCCCTGCTTTGCACCTTCAAACTAACTCTCTTTTTGTAAAAGGCAAGCATAACAAAGCTAGAAAGAGAACGACTAAGAAAGTCCAATATGGTCAAAGGACCCAAAAGGTATGTTAGAATATTGCTAGCTACCATTCTCCAATGATGCGTCACATTTGGTAAACTGTAATGACATCTTCACACTGAAAGCAGGCATGAAATATGTGACACAGTTGCTTGGGTCAGCTAGCAAGACAATCAGAGAAATAATGAAGACCAGTAGATAAGAATTAATAATAGAATATAATGAAAATTATTAATTAAAAAGAATTAATAATAGGGAGTATTTAGAAACATCTTTCTGAACAAATTCTGAGAAAATTTAGGCTGTAATGGACCTTTGCAGATCATCTATTACAGTTCAAAGCTGAGCTGGAATGTACCGTTGAATGTTGCCTGCTGGCTATACTCTTGCTAATGCTGGCCAACATGCGGTTAGGGTTCACTGCCATAACAGCGCATCGCTGACTCAGGTTTATTCCAGCGCATATGTTTTTAAGAACCATTTAAACCTAATCTGCTCTCAGCTATCTGAAAAGTCTGCATGACAAGTTTTTTATTTACCTACTACTGCCCCTTACTTTCACCTCCTTTTTCTCAAAACTAAGGAAAGTGGAAGCAGTGGGACTTTGCACATGTGTTCTCTTTTGTCAGTAGCTATCACTAACACAGGTTGCAAGCTTCTCTGAGTAGATATAGTAGCTTGGAAACTGAAAGCTGGACCTCCTTGAGACCTTAGCTTGAAGCAGAGGCTGACCTACGCTATACAGCCAACCTTTTCTCAGAGTCAGTAGTATCCTGGACTCATAACCGTGATGCAAAAAGTCTCTATTGGAAAAAACTGCGCCAAGAAGAGGTACTAAAATTCCTTTTCTTCCTCAGAGCACTGATCATACAGCAAATATACAAGGGGCAACTCAAGAATTTTGACAGGCATTGCTACAAGATAGTTCCACATGAATATCTCATTATTGAAAACATGTATGTGATTCTTACAGACAGCCTTAATGAATATATATATGCACACCCATATGTAAACAAACGTGTTATGCCTTAGTGACAGGCATATGCTTTATAGCTAACATCAGTAACAACCAACACCTATCACATACCACCTTCCATTTTTAAAAATACTGAAGTCCTTTTTAAAATATTCTTCTTTACATTCTTACACAGACGAACCACTCCATCCACCACAGAAATATAATCAGCCATAGCATGAAATACAGTCACTGTTTAACAGCTTTTGGTAGATACTCAGAAAGGTTTAATGAGAAGACTAACTCAGGTACCCAGAATTACAGATGAAGTAAGTACTGAGAATACAGCTACCAAAGCTCAAAAGGTAGTCAGGATATTGAATTGACCTGTCACCAAGACTGCAATGATGCTTTTAGCCTGGTTTAATAAAGAAACAAGATTTATGCGGTCCAACTCTATACATGTGTACCATCTGTCGCCCATTCCACTCCCTTTTCCACAATAGTTTTTGAGCTTCCTGGACAATTTCAAACAAATTCAATAGACAAGTAAAGGTCTCAGAAAGATTACATTCCTGCAAACTTTATAAAAATGAGCGAGAACAGAGAAAAAGAAAGCCCATTAATGTCTCCACTGAGAGACTGAAATGGGCAAGAAGACTGTCACCTCTTGTTAGATATCAGAAAATTTATTTAAGAGAAAGACCTTGTAAACGTCTCTGTCATGGAAGACCTTATGTCACTGCTTGTTAAGCTTCTAAGAGAAACAACTTTGGAATAAATCCACAGGAAATCCAGCTTATTTAATTCCAAGTCATGAAAATAATTAATAACTATAAGAGGTCAGGACTCGGGATTTATAACTCATGCAAAAGGCATTATTTTTCACAGGAAGGAATACATCTAACAAAGCTATTCAAGGAAGAATATGTGCACCCTGACATTTTTGGTGTCTTTTGATAATGGCTTGGATTTGTATGAAGCAATATATCCATTCCTTCTTTTCAATTGTTCCACCAAAACTCTTTTCCCATAACTTAAAAAGTACATTTTTCAGGATGATCCTCAACTTTAATTATAGTTACACATATCTGTATAGGATGACTATTACAATTTCATATTGTTATTGAAGCCTTATAATTATGAATAAAAATTAAAACATAACCTAGTTTTAACTACTCAGTTTTTGACCAGTAAAAAGTTGCATATTATTAGCAGAGATATAAAGGTTTAGAAAAAAGATTTCTTAAGACAGTGGAGAAACACCAAATCCTTGTCTCCCTCCTTTAGGACAGTCTTTAAAATATTCTCCCCTCCCCCCCAGCACTGGGCTTAATTTAGAAGCATTTACTTTTAATTTAACTCCATGAAGTGGTTCCTTACACTACAGTGGTATCCTAGGATCATTCATTCTTCATTACGTATTTAAAAGAGGTCTGCATCTAATTTGCAACTTTCACATTTGTTTAGAAGAAGATAAATGCCAGCTGACTCAGCTCAGCCGGCATGGCTTCAGTTTTGACTATGCATAGTAAGCAGAACGACCAAAATTTTAACTCATTGCAGAGTTTCAGGACAAAGCTACTATGGCTTACTCGTGGATTACTCACTTTGATGTACCTGCATCAGATGTAATTTGTGTTTGATGAGATGAATTCTATCAGCCACACTTATCTAGGTCCTTTCAGAGACAATGAAGAGAGACTGACACTTCCAGGTCATGATATTTAAGACAGAGATAATGGAATCACCAAAAGAAGCCTAAGAAACTGATATTTATGACCAATTACATTCCTACACTTTGCCAAAGTCCTGTTTTAGGAATGTATGTCCTCGTTCTGATACATGACTAAATATTCAGTGCTAACACCTAACAGAAAGATGCTAAGAATGTTTCACTAAATTATTTGATAATGAGTCAGTAACCCACTGATATCTGGTTAGTTAGTCAGTGAAATCATCCAGGAGGAAATATATGTGGATTTAAGGAGACTACGAGCTTGTTAAAGAAGATCTATATACACATAGTTAGGCACTCCTTAGTAATTCAGGTAAGCTTCCAAGAATTTAGAACTGATTTTGAAAACAGTTCTTCAGATAGATAGAAATTTAGTATCACACTGTCAAGGAAAAAAAGGAAAAGTGTTCAGTAAAAGCAAGGAATCCATTTTTGACTAAATTAAACTTTCAGTATGTGACAGAGAAACTAAGAAAAATTTACTGCTACAAACACTAGAAGCTTACTGCTGCAAATGACATATTTATATAAGAAAGTATAGAAATGTCTCTGAATAGTCATCTGATACTGGACAAAATTTTAGAAGTACTAAAAATTATCATCTTGATATTATAAGTCTATACTGTGCAACTTAATACTGCATTTTATCCTAAAATACTGCATTTATCCTAAAATACTGCATTTTATCCTAAAAATAAGCATATTGAAATTATCAAAGATCAAAATTATAATTACATATACAAAATTAAGTATTAAATTTGTGTCTGGGAAAAAAAACCCTATACAGATAGCAACATGATCCTTAAATGAGGACAGAATCAGCTGAAATGTCACACAGATAATCAGATGGAAGAGAAGCTAAATACACCCAAATATTAAAAAAAGAGCAAAATCAAAACAACTTACTCATTAAGATGTTAATGTTATAAGATGCACATAAAAAGTAATTAAAATAATTGTTACTTACCTTAGAGATCTGAAATAATGTGGACTTCGGAATTAACTACAACCAGTCTTTTCCCAAGAGAGAACTGTCTAACTTTTCCACTACTTTCAAATTTGGAGTGGAAGATATTTTAGGCCTGGCCAAATATCACTGGAAGAAAATGTGTTCACATGTTTGGCCATGTCTTACATTCCATCCTCTTGCTCTGGCATATAGACAGAGCTAATTTTAACCTATGACATAAGTGGCTAATTTTACTGCTAAAATTGTTGTGCACTGACTTCAAAAATTAAGTGTGCCACTACGAGATACAACCAATCCATAACGCATATTGAAAGGGCCCAACCTGTTATATATGAGATCACAAATTCCCAACTGCTCTATTAAAATCTGAGAATATGCAGCACCTCACAGGGTTTGGACCTATATACTACTAGTATAGTTAACTGCTAGCAGCACACAGAGTTAAATTAGAAATAAAGGATTTCTTTATTTTCTGCACCCATATGTAATATGTAATGTCCAACAAAAATTAAATAATCATTTTTCTGATAAATTGTAATTTTAATAGTGACATTATTCTAACTAAAATCTATATTAGTTGGTAAATACAGTCTCTTTAAAATGAAAATACATATAATATACTTTAAATAATATATATGAATTTCATATGATTATATTAACAATTATAATATCAGCTTTTCCTAAAAGTTGTTATCCTTGATATTTAAGAAAAAATGCATATAACACCAAGAGCTTTAAAAAAATACAAAATGAAGTTGCATATTTTATATATTTAGAGACAATATTAGAGAAATTATAAGATATTTTATTCAGTGACATTTTAGCTTTGAGTTTCAAAATGCTGAAACTAGAATTCCAGCCCTGCACTGCTTACATTAGACTGACCACACAAATACTGATTCACAGGCATTTTGTTCAACCCATAATACTTTAGATAAAATCTGTGCTGGTAGTTGTCTGCAATTTAAAAAACATTAAAACATACATTTGTAAGAGATTAAAAGTTTTGTTAACATGTGCTAAGTGAATTATTGCAGTCATTATCCATATGTTCAGACAATTTTATTTCTCAAGGCACAGTGCTTTCTTTATTCTAACTAGAGACTCACACTGTTAGTATGCTTAGGAAGATGAAGCTCCTATCAGACATTCAACAGCTGCAGATCATAAATTTAGGACTGACATAAATCCATTTGATCACAGGGTTACAAGATACTTTTTTTGTTTTATGAATTCTCTGGCCATTAATCCTTTATCAGACTGTTTATATACACAAATGGAGTAGTTCATTTCTACATAAAAGGTATCTGACAAAAATGACAAATATTTTTAATATAAAATACCTATAAATAAAATTTCCTTAAACAGCTTTTATATTTAATCTCTTGGATTTATGAAAGATAAATGTATGCATGTAAAGATGATGTAAGCATCTGTGTATTGTATTAACATCAAAGCTTTTCTTTATCTGAAATTCCTTGTAAGTATTAGACAAGAAACCTGTAAGTGTCACACAGTTTTGAAGGGCTCAGTACAGTCACTATTTAGGCGATTGAGTGTTCATGTCCAGCAATTTCCTGCAAAATTATTTATCTATTCCTGGAGATAAGCAGAGGATCACATAAAATTGGGCAGCGACATTTTAACTTCATTTTAATATATGTTTCCTTTTGGCATATTTGTAATCATTTGATTTCTCAGTTCATAAAAAAAGATTGCTTGGCATAGTGCCCAGCTATAGAAAGGGGTTAGATTAAATCACTCAGTAGCTTTCTTTGTGGACAAAACTGCTGTATTTTCTATGCGTGATTACTCCTCTTGGTCTCTATTTCTGAGATATCTTTTGTCTGCTCTTATACCTATCTAATATCTGCAAAGTAAAAATTAAAAAAATGAAAAAGACAAATAAATACCTCAGTTAGTATCTTCTCAAGTGCTCATGAAGTAGGACTGGAGCAAGAATGACTGTCAGTGAGTCCTGTATCATCTGAAGATAGCTGCCTTCCTATTTAAATGCAAAGAAGGAAAAGAGAAAGGAAAGGAAAATTTTTCATGAGTACGGGGAAAGAACAAGATATATTCCTGAACTGCTCTTATGACTATATTAATAGACACTGTCTTTCAGGTGATGGTCCAGCATTCCCCAAAATTAAAATTATGGAATGCAGACAAGCAAATAAAATGGTGAACACCCAAGTCCTATTTTGGCTGCAAATGTTCATGTTAATATAGTTTATAGGGAATGGGAAATAAATTTTAGTTCAAAATCTATGTGAAAAATAATGAAAATAATTTTATTGCAATATTAAAATTCCATCTACTATTACAATGTATCAGTGAAATGAACAGTGACTTCCATTAGGTGATATAATTTCACGTGTATGAAAACAAGCTCTTCCTCTCACTCAAACAGTTATTTCCACAGTTCACAAACCCTGAAGTCCTGTTCCTCACCACAGACCAACATTTGGATTTTGAAAGTCAATAACTCACTACTTAGCCCTGGAAAGGTAACTAAGCAAATATTGATCTTCCAGCTTGCCAAGGCCCTCTCATATTAGTACTTGACTAACTAGAAGATGCTGCAAAATGATGCCCTGCAGAACAATTGAAAAACATATGTAAAGTGTGTTTTCACTGTTTCGCCACCAAAGGAGTTCAAATTTTTTTTTTACTACAAGTTACAATTTTAACAAAAATTCTGTGTACACCTACCAGATTTCAGCAACACTTACCCCTCCTCAAAGTATAAGACAACAAAATGGTAGAGAAGACCAGTTTAACTAAAGAAGTCACAGAAGCCATTTGGTCCTATCTGTACCAACTTTTCTCACTTATTCAGATAATTTTCAAGACTGTGACATGCTTAAGGAGTGTTTAAGGGTTAAGTTTAAGGGTTTTATTAAACAAAGAGCATTCAAGGTAAAAAAATATTCTGGTCTTTATGGAAAACAGGGTTTACCTTAGAAATAAAATACTGTAGAATATGAATTTTATAGTTCATTATAATAAAAATAATAAAAAACAAAGAAATAAAACTAAAACTAATTAGTTTTACTTTAAGGCTCCATGTTAGGTTTTCTCCAACTATTTGTCAAAAGGAGGTATTTATCTGCAAAGATTTATGGTCTGCAGTGAGCAAAGACATTCTAAGGAAGAATCTGGGCAAGGAAGAAAGTATCTGACTAGTACTGGAATTATGTCTTTACCTCATTACAGTATCTCTCTGTGGCCTCTAAAATCAGTCATTCTCAATAACTCTGTCTCTTCAGAAGAAACAAAGAAACTCCAAGTTTCACATATCGTGAGAATTGCATTGTAAGAGATATCCCTTTTCATAATTAATAACGAGGTGAATTAAGGATAAAAGTAATGTACTGTTGAACTATGGCAACTGTTAACAACTGGCAAACAGTAAACGTGGCTAAAATTAAGTGTGTAAGGATGTATAACTGCAGATGAAACAGAAGTTTGGCCATACGGACTATTTCAAGACACCTTGATAAAGGTTCAGATAAAATTCACAGTGATAGCAAGTTAATAATAAAAGAGTAGACACTTTGGAAAGGTGGAATTCACATGCAAATATATATCTATTCGAATTACCAAATGGAAAAACAAAACCAAAATAAAACAAAAAACCACACAATCCCCTAGCAATTACATGGATAATTTTATTAATTTGACAGAAAATGCAAAAGTAATCAGTCACTAGAAATCACAGAATCGTTTAGGTTGGAAGGGACCTCTAGAGATCATCTAGTCCAACCTCCCTGCTCAAGCAGGGTCACCTAGAGCATATTGCCCAGGATCACATCCAGACGGGTTTTGAATATCTCCAGCAAAGGAGACTCCACTACCTCTCTGGGCAACCTGTGCCAATGCTCTGTCACCCTCACAGTGAAGAAGTTTTTTCTCAGGTTCAGATGGAACTTCCTGTGGTTCAGTTTCTGCCCATTGCCTCTTGTCCTGTTGCTGGGCACCACGAAGAAGAGGCTGGCCTCATCCTCTTGACACTCCCCCTTCAGATACTTGTACACGTTGATGAGATCCCCTCTCAATCTTCTCTTTTCCCTCTGACCAGGGCAGCCCAGAGAGCTCGTTAGCAGCAGCCCCACCTAGCTAGAACTTCCCAGGAGAAGTTAAGTCAAGGTCCCCTGCAGGAGTCCTTGCCCAGCTCTCCCTTCCTGCTAGCAGCAAGCACCGTCTAGTTCCTCGGGGGTCCCCAGAAAGTCTCCACAACTTCCAACAAGGCCCACAAAAGGCCCAGGCAGAGCCCAGACACTGCTGCGCAAACTGCTGCGTCTGTTCGCTGCCTCTGTTGGCTGCGCTCTGGGAGCTGCGCTCTAGGCCTGGCTCTTATATAGGCCTCTGCCTAGCAGTGACTCACAAGGGTGCTTGACCCACCCAATCAGGAGCCACCTGAAACAAAAGCCCCAACTCCCTCTGACCAGGGCAGCCCAGAGAGCTCGTTAGCAGCAGCCCCACCTAGCTAGAACTTCCCAGGAGAAGTTAAGTCAAGGTCCCCTGCAGGAGTCCTTGCCCAGCTCTCCCTTCCTGCTAGCAGCAAGCACCGTCTAGTTCCTCGGGGGTCCCCAGAAAGTCTCCACAACTTCCAACAAGGCCCACAAAAGGCCCAGGCAGAGCCCAGACACTGCTGCGCAAACTGCTGCGTCTGTTCGCTGCCTCTGTTGGCTGCGCTCTGGGAGCTGCGCTCTAGGCCTGGCTCTTATATAGGCCTCTGCCTAGCAGTGACTCACAAGGGTGCTTGACCCACCCAATCAGGAGCCACCTGAAACAAAAGCCCCAACTCCCTCTGACCAGGGCAGCCCAGAGAGCTCGTTAGCAGCAGCCCCACCTAGCTAGAACTTCCCAGGAGAAGTTAAGTCAAGGTCCCCTGCAGGAGTCCTTGCCCAGCTCTCCCTTCCTGCTAGCAGCAAGCACCGTCTAGTTCCTCGGGGGTCCCCAGAAAGTCTCCACAACTTCCAACAAGGCCCACAAAAGGCCCAGGCAGAGCCCAGACACTGCTGCGCAAACTGCTGCGTCTGTTCGCTGCCTCTGTTGGCTGCGCTCTGGGAGCTGCGCTCTAGGCCTGGCTCTTATATAGGCCTCTGCCTAGCAGTGACTCACAAGGGTGCTTGACCCACCCAATCAGGAGCCACCTGAAACAAAAGCCCCAACTCCCTCTGACCAGGGCAGCCCAGAGAGCTCGTTAGCAGCAGCCCCACCTAGCTAGAACTTCCCAGGAGAAGTTAAGTCAAGGTCCCCTGCAGGAGTCCTTGCCCAGCTCTCCCTTCCTGCTAGCAGCAAGCACCGTCTAGTTCCTCGGGGGTCCCCAGAAAGTCTCCACAACTTCCAACAAGGCCCACAAAAGGCCCAGGCAGAGCCCAGACACTGCTGCGCAAACTGCTGCGTCTGTTCGCTGCCTCTGTTGGCTGCGCTCTGGGAGCTGCGCTCTAGGCCTGGCTCTTATATAGGCCTCTGCCTAGCAGTGACTCACAAGGGTGCTTGACCCACCCAATCAGGAGCCACCTGAAACAAAAGCCCCAACTCCCTCTGACCAGGGCAGCCCAGAGAGCTCGTTAGCAGCAGCCCCACCTAGCTAGAACTTCCCAGGAGAAGTTAAGTCAAGGTCCCCTGCAGGAGTCCTTGCCCAGCTCTCCCTTCCTGCTAGCAGCAAGCACCGTCTAGTTCCTCGGGGGTCCCCAGAAAGTCTCCACAACTTCCAACAAGGCCCACAAAAGGCCCAGGCAGAGCCCAGACACTGCTGCGCAAACTGCTGCGTCTGTTCGCTGCCTCTGTTGGCTGCGCTCTGGGAGCTGCGCTCTAGGCCTGGCTCTTATATAGGCCTCTGCCTAGCAGTGACTCACAAGGGTGCTTGACCCACCCAATCAGGAGCCACCTGAAACAAAAGCCCCAACTCCCTCTGACCAGGGCAGCCCAGAGAGCTCGTTAGCAGCAGCCCCACCTAGCTAGAACTTCCCAGGAGAAGTTAAGTCAAGGTCCCCTGCAGGAGTCCTTGCCCAGCTCTCCCTTCCTGCTAGCAGCAAGCACCGTCTAGTTCCTCGGGGGTCCCCAGAAAGTCTCCACAACTTCCAACAAGGCCCACAAAAGGCCCAGGCAGAGCCCAGACACTGCTGCGCAAACTGCTGCGTCTGTTCGCTGCCTCTGTTGGCTGCGCTCTGGGAGCTGCGCTCTAGGCCTGGCTCTTATATAGGCCTCTGCCTAGCAGTGACTCACAAGGGTGCTTGACCCACCCAATCAGGAGCCACCTGAAACAAAAGCCCCAACTCCCTCTGACCAGGGCAGCCCAGAGAGCTCGTTAGCAGCAGCCCCACCTAGCTAGAACTTCCCAGGAGAAGTTAAGTCAAGGTCCCCTGCAGGAGTCCTTGCCCAGCTCTCCCTTCCTGCTAGCAGCAAGCACCGTCTAGTTCCTCGGGGGTCCCCAGAAAGTCTCCACAACTTCCAACAAGGCCCACAAAAGGCCCAGGCAGAGCCCAGACACTGCTGCGCAAACTGCTGCGTCTGTTCGCTGCCTCTGTTGGCTGCGCTCTGGGAGCTGCGCTCTAGGCCTGGCTCTTATATAGGCCTCTGCCTAGCAGTGACTCACAAGGGTGCTTGACCCACCCAATCAGGAGCCACCTGAAACAAAAGCCCCAACTCCCTCTGACCAGGGCAGCCCAGAGAGCTCGTTAGCAGCAGCCCCACCTAGCTAGAACTTCCCAGGAGAAGTTAAGTCAAGGTCCCCTGCAGGAGTCCTTGCCCAGCTCTCCCTTCCTGCTAGCAGCAAGCACCGTCTAGTTCCTCGGGGGTCCCCAGAAAGTCTCCACAACTTCCAACAAGGCCCACAAAAGGCCCAGGCAGAGCCCAGACACTGCTGCGCAAACTGCTGCGTCTGTTCGCTGCCTCTGTTGGCTGCGCTCTGGGAGCTGCGCTCTAGGCCTGGCTCTTATATAGGCCTCTGCCTAGCAGTGACTCACAAGGGTGCTTGACCCACCCAATCAG